TTATATAGGTGTAGAGATAGGGTTTCAGTCATTATCCTTATCTAGTTGCTTATCCACAAAGCAACCCATAAGATAATCCTTGAATCCTTATCATAGTCGAATTCTAAGGCCTTATCACCTTAAATTCGTCCAACCTAATATTAAGATAATCCTTACCTTATTTTGTAACTATCACATAATTACAAATCAGCCCCTCTAGTTTAATTAATTACACTTGATCACAAAATTAATTCCTAATTAATTATTCACCAATATTAATTAAACCATTATGATTTCTCCTTTAATATTTTATTCTTATAACATTTTAATAAATCATAATAACCTCTCTCTCTATTTATTTCTCCAATCAAGTTGCTTTGGTGAAGGCAACCCAAAAGGACCATGCACCATCGGGTCAAGTACATACCAAAATAGTTATGGACTTAGACACTAATCCAACAGTCTCCCACTTGGATAAGTCTAATAACTATTCTGCGTATGACTTCAGATCCTGATCTACAATCATAGCTTTCCAAAGCCGCTGTCAACTCTGATCCTATCAGATACGTGTGTCCTTAGATAAGGGATCATATATTCCTCCATTCTAGATATCATATGAGATATGATTTCAAATCATTCTCTTTGTACTATATCTCGATTTCCGATTTATAACGACAGACTAATTGAACAAATCAAATTAGCCTAGCCCGGCCGAGCATTTACGTTTGTCATCACTAAACCATCGAGGGGCCCAAAGATATCGCTTTTGATCCTACCTTGGATAAAAGGAACGGATAAACTTTGATACAATGCTTGCTTGCACTCACTAACCAAATCACACACAACAATATGTTTTATAACACCAAGTTACTAGTGCGTTTACATATTATCAATGTGCAACCGATTTGCAAGATACAACTCACACATCTCGGTTTCAAGAATATAAGATGTTATCGTCTCACCAATCACTCGTGAAACAATTCATGGAGTGATCCAAGTGAGCGTGGGTTTAATCCAATGCTCAAATCATATTCATAAGCACTCATGAACGTTGCAACAAACATTTGCTTATGTCTAATACTCTTCTAGACAATCCACACACCAATTCACGACAGTCTTCATTCATATCTACTTCCAACATATGAATGACTGTGGCCCGTTCGAATAATTCGATTATTCTTAATAAACTCAATTATTCTAGAAGTCAAAACATGCAAAGTGAAACACAAGAATAATACTAATCCCATATGGCCTCAAACCTTTGAGTATAAATAAAACGCTTTTTATTTATCACCATATTGATTACTCATTATTTGTCGTTTCGGGTAATCAACTTCTTACTTGAATTCCAACACTTGTCCCATGCTCCTAGCATGCACACAATGTTTACCTATGGTTCTTACTTTTGTGAAATAGACAAATTGAACACATTTCCAATCATTCTCATTTTACAACTCCAAATCCTTTTTCATAAGTGTAAGAATATCAAATTCTTGCTACTTATAGAATATGCTAGATTCTAACACTTTATGCAACGATCCTTTTGTAATGTCACTGCACCAAAGTCACAAAGACTATTGCTAATGATGTTACAAAATCTTCTATCGGAGATTGTTACAAGACAATTCCTTAGATATTATGTCTCTCACTCAAAGTACATTCCTTTGAACATCCTTTTGCATAAAAGTTTCTAATCTAGACATAGATTTTCAATATTTACTTCCTAATAAGAACACGCTTCCATATTTTCCTCATGACAACTCATTCTTAATAGAATCTTTTCTATTTGTGATGATGTCAATATGGTCCATCCAATACCATGCTTCCAACTACTCACAAGCAACCAATCCTCGTCGAAATTTGGATTGTTCTTTGATAGTTGTTTAATTATTTTAGTCAAAACCGATTCTAGTCCCTTTTCCCTCTAAATGCACTAGACATTTGGAAAATTTTAGAATGGTCAAACATTAAAGCATTTGCAATCGATCCTATACCCGAAGCGTATGGGACACGATGCACAATGTTTTATTTGCTATGTTCTCAAAATTCAAATTTTGAAGAGGAATGTCGTAATCATAATCGAAATTTTAAGAACATACTATGTACCTTTGACTAAATCTATTAACGTTTCACAACCTAATCCTTTAGATTTGAAATGAAGCATAATATTCTCTCCCTTAATTATAGCAAAATAACTTTACAACCCTTACGACTTTGCAAGGTATAACTCATGTTTTTCTATAATTAATATTGCCAACTTGCAAAACTTTCCATAATAATCATACAATCATAACTTTTATGCTCCCACTATCATGATGATTACTATAAAACATAACACTTATGCTCCCACTAGCTTCGACATGTATTCATAAACATCTTAACTTTCAGAAAGACAATACCTATTGAATTTCTTAAGTCCATGTTTCTAATACTTAGTGCTTTGATAATCTTTTATCAAGGCTTCTTGAACTTATACACCTTGTCCTTAGATAGTTCATATGTGTGTCTCAACAATTAAGACTAATTGCCAAACCTCACAATTCAAATTATGGAAAGGGATACCGTAACCATGATCGAATTCGAGAATGCAATTTTACAATCACTATCTTCTTAAAATCTTTCTTAGTGAAAGCATTTCCTCACAATCATTTTCATGAAGGAGGAAATCTTATGACACTTAGATTTAAATGGTGTATATGTTCCTATCCGTGTGAATTTGTTAAAACCAAAGTTTACGACAAATTCAAACTCATATGGACCGAGCCTTTTTTAATCTTGATTTCTTGCCTTATGGTAGCACAGCTGCCCACCACGTCTTCCAAGTAGTTAAGCAGCTCACCTTTTCCTATCAATGTACCTTTCATTGATTAAGGTGCCTTGCCTTTTATGCGTTCAAGATGAGAACTCATAGGACTCACATGCATAATTAACTCAATTGAAACAGCACAGAATCAAAATATTGTCAACACGATAGGTTGTAAACCTCAACTCATGTGCTAGTGATGATCGATAAGGTTTATTTGATTTGTTCTTGAAACCTTTCCAGACCAAATAAGACTCCCACTGACTCCTTGACATATAAGATTCTTTTTGTCAATAAACATTTCTTGACAAACAAATATTCAAGAGTTAGTGTAGTTTTTATCAAAACACTTCATAAATTGGTCCTAGTCGATCTTTGTCTTATTCAAGACATCACAACTTTCCACATTTGATGAATGTTATAAACCTTTAATACTTTTCACTCATTGTCACAATCTTAACTTTAAGACTTGTTATTGGAACGAAGTATGATAGACTTCTTGATTTAACGATTTCTTCAATCCTTGATTCCTCTTCTTAAACATACAATTGTACTAAGACTCACTTAGAGGATCAATTGAGATATGGTTCTTAATCATTAAGACCTATCATAAAACATAAAAGGTACTCTCCCTTCTTCTTAGAATGGAGAAACTTTTATCTTTCTGCCTACTTGATTCTTGTTATTCGTTCTACTATTGATTTAAACCTTTTCAATCAATTCAGAATTACACTTAATCTTATAAGTATAATCATATTTACTAAACCTTTAGTAGATCATGATGAATATCTTGTTACTCTTATGGTGAACTTGATCAACACACAACTTTGTGAACTCGATCTCCTAGTCCTTCACTTGACACTTTGTCAACGAATTTGTCTAATTTCCAAATATGAAATTTTTCATTCATCATGCAACCAAGTTGCGTGATTCCAAATTTCAGTCCAATTGAAATTTGGGCGATGAGAAACTCTCCCTATTTGGTAAATTCTCGACATTTCCATAACATAACTAAGAATCATATCCATTCGTTGTAGAAATATGCAAACATCAATTTTCATAACGATTTCATTGCAAGGAAGTAAACAAATAAATAAATAAGTCAAACAAAATTTATCTTATTTATAAAAGCAGCGGAAAAACATTTGTCCTTACAATGCAAAATCTATTGAAAACTATGTAAAAGGAAAATTTCTAACAACTCTATCATAACTATCTAAGCTCAAAATCCAATCTTCAAGTTCATGCGATCAAGATCCATCTCTTGTGATTAGATTCATCGTGCTCTCTTATCAAGCTTCCTTTCTTTTCACCGATCCTGCAAAACATTCAAATGCAATCTTATCACATCATGTATTAAGAATCAATAAATAGGAACTTAACGGAGTTAGATAGTGGATTTTACCTGAAGCGTAGTTATACTTTTGACTCTCCCATCTCTTAGATCTCTTAGGTAAATAGGGCAACTTCGTCTCCAATGCCCCTTCTCTTGGCAATAAAAGCAAATTGACTCTTTTGGAACAACACATGAAACTACTTCAAACATCGCCTTTCTCTTATGATCAAACTTTTCGATCATTGCATGTCTTTTATTGTCATTGTCTATATCCATAGAGGTCTTGAAGGCAGATTCACCAATCAACTTTGCCACTAAACTATTGAAACTGTTCACATTTTACCCTTATGACCGGTAACAACCGGTCATAAGGGTAAAATGTGAACAGTTTCAATAGTTTAATGGCAAATAGATAACGAAAAAAAGTTTAGTGAATAAACGTGAACAAAATCGAAAATTCGTTACCCTTTCAAATCATTATCCCTAATTAAAATCATGGTATGTATACATGTATGTTTGGATTTCCTTTACATATATCTGCATATTGGAGCTTGAATGTAATTGTAAACATTTTTTCAGTTATTATAACTGTTAAAAACAACGGAGTTATTCTATCATTTCTATGAAACATCCAACTTAGACTTTTATAATTATTTAGGCATCATTCTTGTGAAAATCTTTGACAAGCATTACGACTTGTAAAAATACATAAATCTGATGAAAACATAATTAACAATGTGTATAAAAGACATTTATTCATACATAAGAAAACTTAAAGTCAAACTACATAATTCTTTTAAAAAACGTACTAATTCTAATAAAGAGAGTACATATAACCTACAAAATACAAATTCTCAAATCCATGAGTCTCTCAAACACACATCAACCAAAGTACAACCTAACAAAATCATGTAGGAACAAGATTAAAATCCTCCTGTAGATCTCCAACTAACAAGAAACAAACAATCATTGCAAACAAAGCAACAAAACCAAACACAAATCTATAACCAAATAACCAAACTGTTGCTTTAGTTTCAAGAACTAATTCATCTCCATGTGTAATGACTTGAGTTGAAGACATTGATTCTGAAGTAAGATTATCATGTTCATCATCTTCATGAGTGACACAATCACTAAGATCACTCACAACAACATTTTCATCAACATGCTTTCTTGGAGTTGTATACATCTTAACATTCTCAATATCCATATAAGATCGAGCTCTCTGTAACAAGATTTTAAAAAGCATATAAGATAAAGATAAACAGATTAATCAAGATTCAAAAGAAAACAATATCAAATATTCAAATTATCAAATACCTGAGGACTAGGAGTAACACTTCTTGAACTTTTCTGAAAGAATCCTGAAAACCCATCTTCATAATCTCCTTCATCTTCACAAAACCCGTTTTCATTAACACTTTTGTTACTTGAAAACAACCCATCTTTCAAAGAAACATCCACCACACCATTGTCATGCCTCCAAAGCTTTCTACTCACACTTTTTGAAGAGTCAACAACTGAAACGGGTGAGTCAACCATGGAAGTATACCCACCGAATGAACTCATGGTTTGTGATTCAGGTGATAAAGTGAAATCAGATTCACCCTTTTTACCATTTTGCTTAAATTTCGAACCTTTTTCAATCAAGATTCTCTTTGCTGTTTCCATTGCTTCAAAGGCAGCACCTTTAACATACGCCATTTGATCACCTTCGCCTTCACACTTCTCCATTTCTTCAATTACAAAGTTAAGTTCAGACATTATACACTTGTAATCCAAACACTTCATGAGAAAATTAATCATTTGAATTGCAACCAATCGTTTCTGAGAGTTCCCCTCTGAAGCACCCGTATTCAATATCGTAACACCCGACCAAATCAACAATCGCGCATAAGCTTCAACGACTAAACTGTTATGTTTAGCGAGAGACATAACTAACCCCATATGTGAATTACTCTGCATAGGTTTTTCCAAAGCCCCAACAACTCTTTGACATACTTCATTCACCATTTCACTTGAAGCAAATCGCCAGTTATCAGAGTCAACAAGAGCTTTTAAACAGAGAGCAGCGCCAGAAGATAAACTTTCTTGATTAGCTAAAAGGGAATCGGAAAGGGGTTTACAAAGGGAATGAATGATTCGTCTTTTTTTGTCGTCTGGAGTGGTGGGGTCGATTCCGTATCTAGCAATGGCGGGGACTACCTTTGAGCAAGCTTGGTGAAGAGCGAAAGATGTTACGGTGGATTTTAAGGTCTTGATAATGGTGGACATGATGTTGTCGATTTGGGGGACAATCTTTGTGCCATGAACACGAGCAAGAGCTTCGTAAAGTGAGATTGTGTATTCACCTGAAGTTGTTCCGGTGTCATTGGTTTCAGAAACTTGAGCAAGAAAGATCGGAATCGCCTTTGAATCCAAATCTTTGACGTAAGATTTCAATGCTTTCATGGCTGATTTCCTGCTATCGGCGTCTTTATCCAGATTTTCCAGTTCTCGCTTAACCACAGGACTCAGATTTCTTCCCATTTAGTTCACTGCAAAAGAAAATGAAATCGACTCAAAGTGGAAACTACACAATCTCTGAATTAAGTGAATTGTTAAATCTTATTCAATCAATAAACGCATATAAGAAGATAACTAGAGCAATGAAGACCCAGAAGTTCATTTCTCTTTGTGGGTAAACGAAATTGGAACTACAAATTTACAATCAAACAAAAACCCAAGAATTCTCTTACACGCTGGTGCAAAAATCGAAAGAACATTCGGATTTTCATTCAATCGAGTAAACACATTACAAGAACACAAAATTATCAACATTGGTATAGTATCGGGTAGTACCTGTGTGAGATGAAAAGGCTCTTGATGCTAATTTCGACTTAATCGCTCATAAAAACACAAAACAATTAAGAAATGAAGAAAATGGGTTTCTGGTTTTTGACATGAATATTAAAGAATTTGTAATACGGATCGACTGTGTGTATGTAATTTGATGAAAGAAGGGTCTGGATTTTCTTGATTGGATAAATTGGGCACCGTGGATTCCGTGAAACTGTAAGAGCTTAGCTGTCCTTCCAATTGACCCGAGTATTTTTCTTTCCCCCCATCGTATATAGGGATAGGGATTCTAAAATAATTCAAATATTTCCTTTTTCCCTCGTCTACTTTTGTTGCTTTGACTATTATACCCTCTCATATTTAATTTATATGTCTATTAGACAAAATAATATTTATGAGTATTTATTTGGGAGATTATAGGTTTGGTTGATAATGGGTTTTCTAGAACTTTAAAAAAAATGTTTGTTTGAAATACAAGATTAAAATATTTATTTTAAAACAAATAAATTATAATTTAAAAGTAAATGGTTGAAACTAATGAAATGATGGTGGTTTGTTGATATCTAGGTCGTAACAAGGAATTCATGATCAAAATTTATGTGTCCTGCTTAAATGATGTGACAAAAAATGGGTTATGTTTTTTTGTTATTGAGTCAAATTGTTAATAAGGGTGTATTTGGTATGGATCTTTTAGGAGCTTCTAGCTTTTAGTATTTGATAAAATGTTTTATTGTGAATAAAAAATCTCATTTGGTAACAAGTTTCTAGTGTTTAAAATGTAAAAGTTATCTTACTTAACATTTAACAAAACACTACCAACTTGTTTCGCCTAATACGCCCAATATCATTTATACAAGTATATCATTAACTTTAATACCAAATATCAAACATAATTCAATAAATACTGGTTAATATTTTACATTTGTTATGAGCAATTTCTGATATTAAGAAAACAATCTATAAATTTATCATTGTTAATACCAATTAACATATCTTTCTCAATATATGATATTAAACACTCATTTATAAATCGATGTGCAAATAATTTTTTATGAAATTGATTGTTAACAATTAAGCAGTCATCTTATTCGTATATTAAATTGACCAAACTATAAACAACAATACAACATAAAAACTAAAAAAATTATCAAATCATGACAAAAATCTAAAACACAATAGATGAAAATTTAATCGTCTAATTTATGATCTATATATTTATTTTATATTGATAAAATTATAAACAACAATACAATATATATAAAACAATAGTAAAAACTAAAAAAGTTATCAAAGACAAACATCTAAACCACAATAGATGAAGAATTAATCATCTAATTTATCATCTCTATCTAATTTATGGTCTCTATTTTTACTTTTTAGTTTATGTCATGCTATTAATCTCAAGAACATGTTAACAATAAATTGTTTTCTAGACATTAGGATAGGTTTTGACTTATAACTCACTTCCTATTTAATTTAAGCTCGTAGTATTCCGCCCCCTCCCCCTCTTCCTATTAATATTCACCCCTACGGGTGATGTGATGTTTATTATTATTATTATTAATAATGGTGAAAAAGGGCATTCTTGTAATTCACTTTAAATTCTCATGAGACCAGCGAATTTATTTAAATCTTCCCGCTCTTTTTTACACATCTTTTTCCTTTTTTGTTTTTTGATGGTCCATAACAGAATATACCAAAATATGGACAAAAACGGTAAATTACAAAATAGTCCCTACAGAATTACTAATATCATAAGGGCCCACCTAATTAATTCTAATGTAAATTTCAAACAAATATATTTCATATGCATGCATCCCATCTCTCAACGAACCAGGAATGTAAGACTTGTGGATATTGTCCCTTTCAGTTTCAATACAGTTGGTCCTTCAATTCTATAATTTAATACCAAATATTAATTATTAAATAATTTCTTGGAGTATCATCAAGAGTTCAAATACAAATTTTATGTTATTTCGTTGTGTCTTATATGGATCAACAAATATATTTAAATTCAAAGTTTAAAATAACAATCAAAATTACTTAAAATTTGGATATCCAAACTTATAAATTTGAATAATGATTTTCCAGAATATTTTAGTATTCCAATGATCATAAATCATAAATTCAAATTATATGTATGTTTAATTTGTTTTATTTCTGAAATTCATTTAAAATTATCTTTTATTTTTTAATTATTTGTATGCTTGTATTAAAATGTATATTAGGTTGTGTTTCTATAGCCATAATTAGTTTATTTTTTAAGTTGTATAGTAGACAAACAAAAAATAGTTTATAAGCTAGTTTTTTTTTTAAACCAAAGGACTTCTAGCCCAGCGATATCCGGTGTTGCCTTCCTCCTTGAGGTTGAGGGTTTAAGTCTCGTCGTGGATATAGGTGGATTTAATGTGTAGTTTATGGGTAGGTTAGATTTGTCGTTCAAAAAAAAAGCTAGTTTTTTTTAAATTTTCTGAATATACTATTAATTAATTACAAAAACATATTCTTCTAAATACATTTTTATGTTATTTTATAACTTTCAACTAACTTATCAACTAGTTTTACCAAACGTTATTTTTGCTAGCTGTTTTTTAGCGAATACCTAGTTTTTCAGCTAACGGGGAGAGTTTACTAAGACGCAAGTTGGGTCTAATGACATATCTAAAACTTCAAATTCTTTATATTTTATATAGGAAACTTTTAGAACCTACTTTGAAAAAAGTTTAAAGCCTACATTTGAAGGCGTCTACATCAACACAACAATGATATAGTTACCTGGAAACATTTTCATATAAACAAGTGACTTTGTGTGTTTAGTTATGAGATGATAAACAAAAAATAGTGTACCATTAATTATTAATATGTTTATAAACCTTGAGTCGGTTGGGTTTGCTAGCAATATCGAGCCTAAATTTAAGTTCAAAAAGTTATTTCTAAAAGGGGGTATTAGTGCAATTTTAGCCCATTTTGGTCCTATTTCTGGAAGTTGGGCAGGAGTTGAAGTTGTAACTTCAGATCTGGACACCTCTAGCCCCCCATAGCGATAAAGTCATCGACTTTATCAAGCTTTGGCCCTTCTCCATGCCATAAACCTCTTCATAAGCTTAGTTTTGGCCTGTAGTGACAATGTCCACACACAAATTACAACACAGGTTAGTATAGTGAGAAGACTCACCTCAGATGGCGGAAAAATCCTACAAATGTTGTTGTTGTACTCCGGACTTCGGCCTCTAACACTGAGCCAAACCCACAATTAACCTTATTAGGATCTAAGACCATAACTTCACATATTAGGTCTAAATATGGTCCACCAACCCAACCCATAAATAACCTAATCCAATTGGCCCACAAAGGCCCCGATATCACATGGATCCATAAAAGCCCACTAGTGGCCCAACTATGGCCCAATTTTCCAAATTGGGCCCAATCCCTCATTTGGGTATTGCCCTGGAGCTCATCTACATATTCTAGTCCACCTGATTGCTCTTGGATACCCCATCCATAGCCCGGTCATCAAAGCCCAATAGAAAGGCCCAACTCAGGCTCAAGCAAAATTAGGGTTTTCACATGAAATGACGATTGGGGTTAAGTGTTCTCACTTAACCCATTAAGGACTTAGCCCATTAAGTCCATTATTCCACTAAGCCATCATACAATAGAATCGTCATGAGTTATAACTTCAGTCCACTAGTCCAAACACAGGTCCCAATAGGTCCAAACCAACAAACCCAAAATTAGAGTTTTCTAAACCATAATTAGAGTTTCTAGCCCAATCACGAAGCATCCCAGTCCAAGATTAAGTGTTTAGGTCTATTAGGGTTCCACTAGGTCGGGCACCACCCAGTTCCACCTCGGGCATTGGTGTCTGACAGTAACTCACGGCGGTAACCACCACCTCACGGCGATGGTGGTGGTCTATCCCTCAAACCCTCCGCCAAAATGCTAAAACAAGTCTCATTCCACTAGACATACTCATAATCATCACAATATATACACACAACCACCACCATATGGCGGCTGGTGGTGCTGATGCGGTGGCAGGAGGCAGCAGCCACCACCTCACGGTGGTGGCAGTGGGTTTTCAGCCAAATATACACACTTCTCATACCTCAAATACCGAAAACAACCACCACACACTAACATGCGCTCAACCAGCCACCTCTTAGGCAGCGGTGTCACCGAAAAAAAAACACAAATAGTAGCCCTCATGGCCATCGACGGCGGCAACGACGATTCCGATGTCACACCCAAAAAAGAACGAGAAGGAAAGGAGAAGCATAGGTTGCGGTGACTTACTGAGCATCCATGATGTCTCATGACTTGCACAATGATGACACAATGGGTTTTTCCCGGTCCTCGGCAGTTCTCCAGCGGCCCCCGACGTTTCCGGCAGCAGATATCATAAAGGCGTACTTCAACGGCAATGTGGCTATCGGTGGTGCTCAACGATGAGGCAGCAGGCCTGATCGGAACAGTGAACGGATAGGGGTGGCGTTTGCTTTGCATCACGCATTGCGGTTGGTATCATTAGGGTTAGATACGGTTAAGGAAGGAGTGTCGAGTCTAAATCTCGTGCCTTTTTAAAATATTTGATCATTTACCAACATTAGTCCCTCCCTCACAAGATCTTTTCAAAACAGATCCCTAAATTACCATATAGCCCCTTTCATGACAAATTCCTTTCAAACTAGGTACAAAATTTACCATTTATACTCTGTCGTCTGGAATCCCTTTCAAATCGCGTCCATAACTTACTCTTTCAACCCTCAAATTCTAAAATTATATCAATTGACTCCACAACACCAACACCTCGCTAAATATTATTTACATATTTATTCAATAATCAAGATGTTACAACTATACTTCATATCACTTCTCAAACAATCCCTACAAATGAAAAACTATAAGAAATTAAAAGATTGTCTTCAAAACGAATCAGTTTAAGACAAACTCAGGAGTATCAAGAAGAAAACTCAAACCGTAAGTCGCTGATTGAATTTGCATCCACAAGGTTTGAGAATTTCATGTATAATCTCAAAACAGATCCGAAAAGTCTTCACATCGTTAAGCACAAAACCCCATGTGTAATCCTTTCCTTTCTTCCCTTCCCGCAGAGGACACATACTCTCAAACAAAGTTTTTTGTGTAGTACAGTTGATAGATGTCCCTTATCATGTGCCTGGAACAACCACTATCAACAAACCAAAGTCTGATGATATGCCTCCATAGCTGCTCCAGCACAGAGCGGGATCAGTTGATCTTTGGAACCTAGTCCATTTTGAAACTGGGTCGACCTTTTTCAT